GTTGTTGCTGCTGCTGTTGCTGTTGCTGTTGCTGCTACTGCTGCTTCTGCGGCTGGTAATGTTGTTGTTGTTGTCGTGGTTGTTGTTGTTGTTGTTCTTGTTGCTGTTGCTGTTGCTGTTGCTGGTGCTGCGGCTGCTGCTGCTGTTGAAGTTGTTGCTGTTGCTGCTGCTGCTGCTGCTGCTGCTGCTGCTGCTGCTGCTGCTGCTGATACTGCTGCTGCTGCTGCTGCTGCTGCTGCTGCTGATACTGCTACTGCTGATACTGCTGCTGCTGCCGCTGTTGCTATCGTCGGCGGTGGTGGTGCTGGTGCTGCTGTTGCAGCGCAGTTGTTGCTGCTGATTTTGCTCTTGCTCCTTTTTCTTACTTATTGCTATGGGTGGGAGCCGAGTCAGAAACAACGAGTCGGAAAACACGTGAGCCGAGTCGAAAATCATGCCGGGCCGAGTCGGAAAACAGGTCGCGCCGAGTCGGAAAACAGATGTGAGTTCAGAGCTGAGAGCTTGGAATATGGTCTACAGGGCTCCGGGTCTCTGGACTCTGGCTTTCCCGTGCATCAACTTATGGGCACTTGTACTCAGACCCTAAAGCCCTAAGCCGAAGCCAAGAAACACAACATGCATAATTTCTGAACCCCTGCACACAGCGGCTCCAAACCGATGTTAGGACGAAGCCGCCAAAGCTGTGGACACAAACAGTGATTGCAAGGTATCTCTGTCTCTGTCTCTCTCTCTAAACCCTAAACCCTAAACCCTAAACCCTAAACCCTAAACCCTAAACCCTAGTCGCTGTCCCTCTGTCTCTCCCTTTTGTCTTCGTCTCCCACCTGTCTCCTCTGTCTCGCCCTCGCCGCAGCACATGAGTTCACCGTTTTCCGACTCCGCCTCGGCTCGCCCTGTTTTCGACTCTCCTAAACCCTAAACCCTAAACCCTAAACCCTAAACCCTAAACCCTAAACCCTAAACCCTAAACCCTAAACCCTAAACCCTAAACCCTAAACCCAAAACCCTGAGCTGCTTCCGACTCGGGGCTTCCTGTTTTGAGACTCGTCGGGTTGTTTCAGGCACGGCCCGAACTCCTTGTTAGGGTTTAGGGTTTAGGGTTTAGGGTTTAGGGTTTAGGGTTTAGGGTTAGGGTTTAGGGTTTTTAGGGTTTAGGGTTGTTCTTGCTGCTGCTGCTACTGATGGGGTGAATGAGGTTCAGTCGCAGTTGTCTTCTTCTGGTGCCTTTACTGGCCCATGGTTGCACTTCCCGGGCAGCACGGCCTGTATCACCTGCTTATTGCCCTAATCTTGAAGACCTCGGAAAAGGCTCCAGCCCTCAGATTGCGCAGCTCAGGCTTTGCAAGATCCTGTGCTAAGGACTGTGGTGTCTGCACTTGGAGGGGTGCAATAATGACCAATCCCTAAGGGTGCATGTACCCAAATAGTAGAACATCGGCCTCAAAGTACCTATATAGGGACTACATTAAGGCCAATGTTCTACTATTTGGGTACATGGACCCTTAGGGAATGTTTTAAAGTCCAGTTCGAAAAGAAGCAAGCGGCTCGCTCCGAATTGCCACGAAGACATTCTCCAGCGACACCTGAGCCACGCTCTCAATTCCGCCCAGACTCTAAACCAGATCAAAACTTGCGGGGTTTATGCCTTGAAAACCCGAAAGTACCTCTTGAGATCCTTTCACGAGACGTGGGGTTACCGAAAACAGGTGAAACAATGAGAAATGGGGTAACTAACCGAAACCAGGTACAACAGTCCAGAGTTTAGCTAGGGAAGTGCAACGACGGAAACATCACCACGCCTTCATTCTGAATAACCTTGATGTACTGACTACTGAAGACATACACGAAAAGTTGCCTACGTGGACGCTGAATTGAAGTACCTCTCCGGCGATGACTTATTTTATGATCAAGGCCCTTGGAGCAGAATAACTAGGGTGACTGAAACAGGGGGCAGGGTGCTTCTCTGGTCCGAGATTCCTGAAACTCGTGTTTGCTTCGCCATGGCTCAGGTATGTGGGTAGTTCGCTAGACCGGGGTCCCATTTTAGGTCCCCCAAAATAGTACGGCACCCTTCTTATAGCAAGGACCCCTAAGAGGGACCCTAACTTAGAGAACCACCCAGCTGAAATTCTGGAATCCGAGCCCACCAGGCCCATGAACTGTAGAGACTCTCTACCCCCTACCTTAAGAACCCCAAACCCACTTTTTTTTGTAGGTTCTTATTAAAAAACCCTAATATGGGATTTATAGGGACCCTACAAAAAAGTAGGTTTTGGGTTCTTAAGGTACCTCCTAAAAGCCTGATCATCGCTTGAACCTCAGAGCCCCACGGTGGGCAGCCAGCCGGAGGGGGTCAATAGCTGCATGCAAACACCTTGTCGGGGCGCAAACTCTCCAAGGGTTTAGGGTTTAGGGTTTAGGGTTTAGGGTTTATAGGCCATAGCCCTAAACTTCCCCAAGCCGGCCTTCGTGCGCTAAGCTCTTGTTGAAAATCTACTAAGCTGTAGGTTCCTTGCAGAAACGGCCCTGTAATTTGGACGAGCTCTTCGTTCTAAACAGCACAAGAAAGTTCATAGACAACAAGTTGCTTGAATATCCAAGGCGCTCCCCCCGATGGTGATGTGTCCTGGCACTTAAACCCTAAACCCTAAACCCTAAACCCCTAAACCCTAAACCCTAAACCCTAAACCCTCAGGAACATGGGGACTGAGGACCCGAAACACCCTTGCAGAACGGCGCGCTCCTGAGTGAGTGGGTTTAGGGGTTAGGGTTTAGGGTTTAGGGTTTAGGGTTTAGGGGGCTTCGGTCATGAGGTATGCCGGGTGGTCCTGTGTGCATCTGAAACCGCGGCCGCACGAGCCGGATGAAAGGTGGCGCCATGGGGAAGCTGTCCTGAAGGATTGAAGGATTGCCAGCAAAAGGGAAGACAGAAACGCGACTATCACGTACTAGGGTTGTATGTTCTTCATAAGAGTACATTAGGATACTTAGTTGTTGCTCTTCAAAAGCAGTGATTACACTGGTCCGGTCGGCATGGCGTTCTATGTGAGGTCTGGCGACAAGAAGGCTTGTTTGACGTTGACCTTGCGCTATGACGGCGTGCTTCTGCCATCTGCATGGATCGCCGAATTTGTGCTCAGCTTTGGCATCTCCTATGCTGATCCTAAACTGCCTAAACTCCGGGATATCGTTGCATCCAGCTTTGGAGTTGGATAAGTGCTGCCACGAGCGTACATCCTAAGAACCGAATTACATCTTCTTCCTTGACAACAGCCAAGGACATCCTGTTTGCAGTTCCGTTGCATTGTGGGTCTGACGTGAACAACATTCAAGTGCACATCCACAACAGCTCCTCTCACGCCGCGTCCCACGTCATTTCCTGTAATTTAAGAGAAGAAGCCTCGACACAAAGCCTAATGCTTAATAATTAGAGTAGGGTTTCGGGGCCCATTATACTATACTTATGATCAGGAACACCCCAAAACCATATTGGTAATTTTTCAGGCTCCTATATTACCATTGATCTCGTCGATGCCATTCAGACTTCCCTCCGGCTGAAGCTCTTGCAAGGCATTTAGTAGGGTAGGGTTTAAGGTTTAGGGTTTGGGGTTTAGGGTTTAAGGGTTAGGTTTTAAGTTAAGGTTTGGGGTTTAGGGGCCAACTGAAAGATGTTGACATGTTTACTCCTAGGAACCCCAGTTCCCCGTGTCGCGGGATACCTTGCCCCAGAGCACCAAAGACTGCGGCCTAAACTCCAAAGGCCTTAACTAAACCCTAAACCCTAAACCCTAAACTCCTAAACCCTAAACCCTAAACTCCTAAACCCCTAAACCCTTAGCTCTGGGAACAGGCGAGGGGCCGGGAAGAGCACTTCCATCACCACCGCTGCCGCTTTGGACGGGTGGCTGGCCCCGAACTTCCTAGATTTTAGGGTTTAGGGTTTAGGGTTTAGGGTTTAGGGGACTAAAGAAATGTCGTCTGATGCCCGAAAGTCTCTGCGGAGAGACTCTGGGGATGCGAATCCTTTGAAGTATATTGAGGACTGTCAGAGACTGATCCGAATTAAATGCGGAACTTCCTGAAATAGAGGCGACTCAACCTTACCTAAACCCCGAACCCCAATACCCTCAGACCCGAACCGGAAGTCTTGAACCCCAGAGTCCGGATATTACTCTCATAAGCCTATCAAAACGCCAACAAGGTATGACACTAAGAAACCCTGAATAGAACCATGTATGGAACCTTCGCCAAGCCCCCTTTCTACACCCCTATCCAGCCCCTTATAAGATCCCGTACGAAGCTGTTGAACCTGTCACAAACCCTCACAGAACCCTTAGCACGTATGGAAACCAATAGAACGCTTACCTTAGCCCTAAAATCGCGTCGCCCAGCTTCTCCAACTCGCTCCGAAGATCGCTAGGGGGAAAGCTGTCCTTCGGCCGTCGCTCAACTACTACTTTAGCTGTATAAGGGGTGATTAGGGTTTAGGGTTTAGGAGTTATAGAAGGGTTTGTTATACAAGGGCTGTAAGGTTTTTGGGTTCAGGAGTTTCATAAAGAAAGGTTCAGAATGTAGAGTTTCTCTAAGGGGTTCGAAACGGGCGGGCTGTCCTAGATGGATCTGAAGGGGATCCTAGGAATCCTAATAGGCTTCTATCACGGTTTTGGGTATAGGGCCTGGGTTTAGGTTTTTAGGGTTGGACAAGGGCTTTACAGAGTTTGTGCGGAATTTAGAGGGTTCAGGATGTACCCTAAGCATCAAGGGGACTTAGTAGGCGAGGCTGCATTTGGAGCAACTAGACTTGTAGCTACACCGTACCCCAATTGGGACCGTGAATAGTCAAACATCCCCAAATCCTAAACCCTTCGAACATTTAGGGTTGAAGTGTTCTCGTGTACTTGACAGAGTTCCGCCTCGAAAGAGTAGAGGGCACCGCCCAAAAGAGCCGATAGCTCCAATGGCCAAACCTCACGCCCGGACTACATCCCAAACCCTGACTGCTAAGTCATGTGTACATCACACCTGAAAGAACCAAAGCCCTGATTCCCTCAGAAATGCTACGGGTACCGACCAACTGCGAAATCCTGAACGGAAGTATGCTCCATGCTGCAAGAAGAAGAGAAGAGTGATACTGACCCTCGTTTCACGTAAAGTTTTTCATGGAGGAGAGCACCACAAATTTAACAGCTACATACATGACAAATCGCGAGAACTGCACCGATAGCGCAACATGCCAGAATGCCACGAAAAAGCCTCATGCTTGCGCCGTTCGTGACAGGCTGTGCAGGTGGTAGGCAGACCTTCCCTAAACCCTAACCCCCCAACGCCGAACCCAAACCCTAAACCCCAAACCCCATAACACAAGACCCAAGAAAGCAGTCCGCGGACATCTTCACGCTCCAGTGGTAAAGGGAATCCTGGTCTGCAAGCGATTCGTGAGGCTCATGTTTGTTGGGACTTAGGGTTTAGGTTCTGCTAGGTCTTAGGGCTGCCGGGTCTAAGGCGGGAGGGTTCTTGGGCTAAGGGTAACTTAGGGTTTTGTGTTCAGGGATGAAGCACTTGCAGGAGAGAGGACATGCACGGCTGTGAGCAGCAACGTGAACTCACGGTTTAGGCTTTCGGGTTCCCGGTCTGCTCTCTGAAAAGATTGCTGCGACTGGAATCTCGAACAAAGCTCTTTGCCCTAAACCCCACCGAATTAAGACACGATTGCTCCTGGATGCCGCCCGAATCCTGTAAACCACAAGCTATACACTTGAAATGAAAGCTAATGCGGCATGGCTAACCAGAGTTTGGGTGAGAAGTACATGAATCGGGGCAGAAGCTTCTGACGACCATCATTAGCTTGCTTCTGACCCTGCTTGAAATTGCCCTAAACTCTAAACCCTAACCCCTAAACCCTCAACCCAAACCCCTAAAACCCTCAACCCTAACCCCTAAACCGTAAACCCTAAACCCTAAAGCATTGCAGCCCGCAGAGGGTTGGGGATCGGAGGCTTCAGCTACTGCAGCTTCATGTGGGAACTCGGGCCTTGGCTCCACCTGATACATAAATAAATATAAATATATATATATATATATGTGTATATATATATATATATGTGTATATATATATATATATATTTGGTATGCATATATATATATATATATATGGGCAGTTCCCCAAATTAGGGTCCTTTTTGGGGCTCCTTCACAGGATCTATCAGGGCTTGGTAGGGTTTCTATAAGGTCGTACTTGGGCAGTTCCCTAAATTAGGAGGGTGCCGCACTATTTTCTGGGGGACCTGAAAAGGGACCCTAATTTACAAAATGACCTATACAAGAGCCTCGCTGAAGCCCCGATGAACCTTTTCTAACACCCTACAACGAAATGGTGTAAAACCTTGCGAGCTCCCCGGCAGACCCTGTGTAGAAAGTATAACATAGTATAGTATCGTATAGTGTGGTGTAACAAAATCCGGTGCCTTGACCATGTCAACCTCCAAAGCCTTCTTTCCGTCTGAGCCTGGATGCTTGGGGCCTACGACCTACGAGCGGTCTTCGCAGAAACAAGAGGGTTCTTGTTGTTGTTGATCGCCCCTTTTCCGTCTGCCTTAATAGGAGTCTGGAAACAAGAGGGTTTTTGGTTTGGGGCTGACGGCAGCGGCCTTCACAATTGCAAATATGAATTCTTCAGGCCCCTTTATGGCAATGTCTGTCTAGAGACCATGGCTTTGGCAGTTTAGTGCTCAGGGCTTAGTAGAATTTCTGTTTCAGCCTTGCCCGAGGCAACGTTAACACTTCAAGTTTGGCATCTGAGCGTGAGGGTTTTGGGTGGTCTCGGGCTTCAGAGTTCATTAAGGGCGAGGGTTCCGGCTTCAAAACCTGAGGCGGCACGGCATTTTCGTTTAGCTCTGCGGATCTCACCTTCAGCCTGAACAGCTCCTTATGGTTCTTTTGTAAGACTACAACACAAAACCCTAAGCACCGCTCACCATATACACGGCAGCCCTGCCCTTAAGAAAGATCCCATCCCTAAACTCCTAAACCCTAAACCCTAAACCCTAAACCCTAATCCCTTAAACCCTTTTTGCACAGGCTTGCGTGAATCTCGCCTGGACGTGTCGCACCCGTTCTCTGAACAAGGCCCAACACAGAACGAAAGCACTAACTTAGAAATGAGCCTTTCATGTTCACCTTAATCCCTTAAACCCTAAACCCTAAACCCTCTCCCACCCCGAAGTAACCCAAGAAAACCTTTACCCCAAGAGAACCGCCAGGCCGGACAGTTTCAGGATTCCGGCCTTGGGGTTGAGGGTTTAGGTATAGGGTTGAGGGGTTAGGGGTTAGGGTTTAGGGTTTAGGGTTTAGGGTTGAGGGTTGAGGGATCAGGGTTGCCAAAACCCCGGACAGACTGCCTGGCAACGCCATCAGCGAGCGCATTTCGCGCATTAGCACCTGTCCACACTTCGAATGTGGGTACCATGAAACCCTAAACCCGAGCCCTCAAACCCCAAACCCTGCACCCTAGACCCTAAACCCTGAACCATAACCCCTGAACCCTAAACGTGATTCAGGCCCCTTATAGTTTTCGAGGTAGGGCTACAACCTGAAAAACTCTCGTCGCCGCGGTACAAAGACGGTCAGTCAAAAGCTTGTCACCCAATAGCCACGAACCCCTTAAGGGCTTAGGACTTAGGGCTTAGAATCATGATCAAGAAATCGCTTCTCTTTTAACTAGTGGGTTGAATATAGCACCTCTAGCAAGCCCTTGACATAAACCCCCAAGCCCCAAAATCCCTTTTTGGGGAGAACCCTCTACACCCCAAGCCTTACATGTCTCGGGCTCAGTGCTGGCATGTTTTTTCCAAGTCTCTGAGCCAGAGACTTAAACCCCAAAATCCCAACTTGCTTCGGGCTGAGATAGAACTATCAGGCAACTTCGTAAGTAGGTCGACAAGGTCGAAAGTATGGGTAAAAGCAAGGTGTTGCATGATGAAAGACTTCGGAACTAAGTAGGTCATGAGTGAATGAGTGATAAACAATGAAGTCAACCAATTAGACTACTTGTATCCCAATGATAACCTGCTTACGAAGTCCCCTCATAAAAGCCCAGAATCACCGCATTCACACAAAACTACGTACCACACGGCCAATATCCATAAAATCCATACAAAGCCACTACACGAACCGTATAAAGTAATTTAAGACCCATGGAGCCATTACAAAGCCAGTTAAAGCCCATGGGACACCATAGACCAAAAAACGGTTTTTACCTAAACCCGAAACCCTACTAAACCCTATAAAACCTAAACCCTGCGAAACCCTAAACAGCACTAAACACCAACCCTCTTTCTTTACAAAAATAATATCACAGATATCTTTTTAAAAGCAAAACTTTATAACAGAGATCTTTTTTAAAAACAAAATAATATAACAGACATCTTTTAAAAAAAACAAAAAATAATATAACAGAGATCTTTTTAAAAAACAAAATAGTATAACAGAGGTAACAACAAAATAATATAACAGAGCTCTTTTTTAAAAGCAAAATACTATAACAGAGCTCTCTGTTAGACAATATTATAGCAGAGCTCTTTCTTTTTACACATAGTAATAATAACAATAATAATAACAGAGCTCCTTTTAGAAAAACAAAATAATATAACAGAGCTCTTTTTAAAAAGAATCCTAAACCCTAAGCCCTAAACCCTAAACCCTAAACCCCAGGCCTGGGAGGCTTGCCGAGAGCCCTGTGAGGCGGAGGCTTCGGCCAGAGCGTCCCAGTGCCTTTCGGCAGAGCTCGGTCTTCTAACTTCGTATTACTATAGTTCTAACACTGGTAGGGTTTAGGGTTTAGGGTTTAGGGTTTAGGGTTTAGGGTTTAGGGTTTAGGGTTTAGGGTTTAGGGTTTAGGACTTTTAATTTAGTCTTAGTAATACTAATAATAATTGTACTAACAATAATAATACTACGAACAAAAATAAGAATACTAATACTAGTACTAACAGTAAAAACGAGATTGAATAATGATACGAAGAAAAATAAATCCCCACACCCGGAACCCTCGACCTAACATGCCTTAAACCTCAAATCCCTAAAAAAAACACTCCCAACGAACTCCGAAGCGAGGGGCGCGTCTTCCTCGTGGGCCTTTCGCTTCGCCGCCCGATCGGCTGGCGCCTCCTCCTCGCAGCACCACGCTGAAGTTTACGTCTTCTCGCTAAATTAGAATAGGGTTAGGGGGTTCCTTTTAAAGTTTAAGGGTTCCTTAAAGGGTTCTTAAGGGCTATTATAAGGGTTGAGAGTTTAGGTGCCTTCATAAATAGAACAGGGTTTTGGGGTGAGGGGTCCAGAAAGGCACCGAGCAAAGTTCCACACGAGGTGTAGGATTCCAGGTTTCGCTCGATTTTCGGGTTTTCGGGCATTAGGATGTTGGCCTCTATAGCTATACCATAATATCCCTTAAAGCCCTATCTTCGGATCATGAGGTCTTTTATTTGCTGTCAAGGCCGCTTATGCATGTGGGTAGCTCTCTAAACTACGACCCTGCCATCAGTCAGCTTGAAGCCGCTACCTTCCGTACCATCTTGAGTACCAGGGACGACCCATACCTCATCGGGCACCAAAACGCTGTCCAAGAGTTCCTAGCGAAGACGCAGCACTTGCACAAGGGCAACCAAGAGGGCAGGGACGCACGCGCCAGCCAGACCAAAACGGAGGATGAAGGAGAGCCGCACA